CAAACCCTAACCCCTATTGTTCTAAAAAAAAAAAAACCACCTTCCCCAGAAATCCACTTCTCAAGCCATACCCGTTATTAACCCCAATTATTCTCTGCATTCCCGACTTTCAGCGGGCGGTCAGTATTTGTTGCTAGAAACACTTTTTTTTTATAACTAAACTAATTACTGACTGGTATTTTCAGTACCGCGTTAGTTGCCGCAAAGATTAGGGTTTAGATGCCTAACTTCGACACTCAGCCACAAAGATGCCTGACTTCGTGCATCCCTAATTTACCTAAAAAAGTAACTTTATATTATAAATTACAAGTTATATATATAATTTTTAATTAAGCAGTAGTAACGTAATTAAGAAACTAGTGGTCAGTAACTTACTTTATTATTAAATGCACCAGATGGGTAGGGTGACCAGACGTCACGGTTTTGTCCAGACAGTCCCATTTTTATGTAATTTGACCCAATATCCCGAGAAAAGTTCTTGGGACGCACTTCAAACTGTCTATCACACCGAATGACGATGGCAATAGGCCTACTTGACTTGCTCCTTGTTGTACCACGTGATCTCCTACCGCCAAATCCTCTAAAGTGGTGAGAAACACAGGTCTGAATGTGTAGACAGTTACAGGCTTGTGTAAAGGGTGTTTAGACGATGAACACCCACATCAGTTCATGACTGTGTAAAGGGTGTTTAGACGATGAACACAGCCTTTAACTGTCTGGGTGTTTAGATGATTTACACAGTCGTGAACTGATGTGGAGACATTAAAGTCTGTGTTCATCGTCTAAACACCCTTTACACAATCATGAAGTGATGTGGGAACAGTTAAAGGTTGTGTTCATCGTTAAAACACCCTTTACACAGTCATGAACTGATGTGGAACAGTTAAAGTTCATCGTTAAAACACCCTTTACACAGTCATGAACTGATGTGGGAACAGTTAAAGTCTGTGTTCATCGTCTAAAACACCCTTTATACAGCCGTGAACTGATGTGGAGACATTTAAAGTCTGTGTTCATCGTCTAAACACCCTTTACACAGTCGTGAACTGATGTGGAAACAGTTAAAGGCTGTGTTCATCGTTAAAACACCCTTTACACAGTCGTGAACTGATGTGGGAACAGTTAAAGGTTGTGTTCATCGTTAAAACACCCTTTACACAGTCGTGAACTGATGTGGAGACAGTTAAAGGTTGTGTTCATCATCTAAAACACAGTCATGAACTGAGCTTCTAACGTTTCATCGATTATTTACACCAATATTTCTAAAAGGTAATGCTAAAGGTAGTACGATCTAAAATGTTCTTAAATAAATCCAGCTATGGATTTAGCCTATTTTATGATGAATTGGATAAAGTGAATAATTAAAGATTTCTCGGTTGTGTAATTTGATTATTTTTTCCTCAATTATCTTGTGTCTTATCACCAAAAACGGAGTTGAAATTAGTTCAAACATAATGTAAATGTTAATATACTTCGAAATACTGTGGAACAATTCAATAAATTTAAAATAAATTAAATAAACACGAAATTATCTAATATATGAAATAACCATTTTGAAATTAGGGGCAAAGGGCTGGGCTGTCCTGGATTTTGTCTGTGGAAACCTGGTCACCCTATCTGTGGCTCATAATTTTGTTACACGTTTCCTAGTAAAAAATAATCACACAAAACGTGTAAACCGAAATACCATGAATATTAAAATATTTCCCACTTGTTAGTGTTAGGATTCACCATGTAATTTAAACATAAAATTAGGGTGTTCAACCAATTCTTTTTGGTCCTTTTTTCATCGTAATTATGGTAATAAACGAAGCGGGAAGAAGCCTATAATTCTGATATTCAAGTTTTACAACCTTGTTTTGTATTCAATATTAAAAAAGTGTAATATTTCACAACTCGGTGATACAAGTTTCTGCAAACATTGGGGTATTAAAATGATTTAATGTGAATTTCTATGCTTGTGTAATATGTAAGACAGATGTATAACAATTGTAGGTGCTAATATGTGTATAAAACTTATCATTTCTGTCTAAGATATAACAAAATGAAGTTTCAGTAATGCAGATGAATCATTTTTATAATCTTTTGAATAATTTATATTAAATTAATATATTTGTATTAACATGTTAGTCCCTTAATCTCTGTATAGAGTCGAGCGTGGTCTAGTGGTCAGTGTGTATCCGATGTCACGTTACCGCAACATCACTCATTGCACTTTGGGGGGCGTAGGTGCATTATAAGATTGTTCTACTTGGTGGTTAGTTGGTGTTGTCGTCTAGCTGCCTTTCTTCTAGTCTATCAGTTTAAGATAAAAGACGGCTAGCCCTTGTGTGGCTTTTCGCGAATATCCGGAACAAGCAAAATCTCCCTGTTACATATGTAATTGACAACAGAGAAATGAATCCAGTCACGTGAATCAACCAGCATACTTCAATACACAGATCAACCCCGGTAATAAAATATCCAGTGAATCAACCAGCATACTTTAATACACAGATCAACCCCGGTAATAAAATATCCAATGAATACAGTCGTGTGAATCAACCAGCATACTTTAATACACAGATCAACC